CATGATCGTGTTAAGATCCAACTGGTTCTCATTTCGATCTATTACAGGCGTGCGCTGGCCTGATTGGAAGCGCGGGCGCGTCGGTCATATCGAATCCTGCAGTGCCTGCCCCTCCGCTCAGTAACAACACGGGTGTCTACTGTGAGGCCTAGCTCGGGTCCCAACATTCGACGCAATGGCTGCAGGTACGCTTATTCGTCTTCCATGCACCGGCCCGTGCCGGTCGATCACATATGCTTGTGCACATCTTCCAAAGACTTAGCCTGAGAAAGGGTAGGGCGGTTTGGCACCATATGGCCTACGCCAGGCCCGCACAGCTCAGATCACGCACGCTCGAACTCGGAGGACTCACGTCAGCCTCAGTGCACTGTGTCATTCGGTCCCTCAGCGGTAGCCTAAGAGCGCCATATGTTCCGACCCAGGGGCCGTCCCTTGCATATATGCACTGCACCCCCTGTGCCTGTATCCTCAACCTGCACGCCCAGAAAGCCACACGTCGAAGTAGGAACGCACAGTGCGTCCACATGGTGCAGCGTGCGAAGAGGGCCTTGCGGGCTTCCAAGAAGGACGTCACGTCTACACGACGACTCATGCGACCCGTTCGTCGTCAGTGCAGTCAGTCCGCCAGTGAGCCTGGGTCGTGCGACTGGAATGCGAAGCCAACTCCTGTCCGAGATGCAGGAAGCCTGCGTGCCCGAGCATGGAACGCAGGGCGGGACCGCTCAGGCTGTCAACTTGAACGATCGCCCCGCTGAAAAGCCAATGCCATACCGGAACGTCCCCATCGACGTGGGGACAGAATTGGGATAGCATCCCTGTCCACAATACAGTGCTTTGTAATGACGCCATCTGCACGCACTGGAAGGCTTCTTCCGAGCCCGAGACCGCCAACTCGCTTCCGCGTCTTCTGTTTCGCGCTTCGCCTTCTTCTCTTCTGCAGGCTGCTTGGGAGTCTGCGACCGCGCGCGTCGTTAATGAAGCGGAAGACGGGCCCGAAGGCGGGAACGTGAGAAGGAGGGAAGGGCACGCGCACGGATGAAGGAGGCTGGGAATGCGCACTGCGGTGGGTTCCGCTGGGCGGCGCTCGCCGGGCTTCTGGGAACGGGAAGTGATTTCTTTCGTTCGACGGACAGAAGCCGTCGCCGGTCACAGTTATACATACTCAGCTAGTGTGTGGCCGATCATTGAAATCGCGGTAGTAGAAGGGAACGCAGAGTTGAGACCATCTGTGGCGATGAGAGCTCGCCACGGGTTACATCAGACTTTCTCCCGGTCTTGTCAAGTATTGAGCCTCGATAAGTTGGGCCGTGAGATTGCGGAGAACACGCGGCGCTGCACTGTTTGTTGACACAACAGAATGTTGTCACGCGCCCTGGAATAGTCGAGTAGACCACCTTTGAATATTACGGTCTACTCAATCGTCACGTTCACGTCAAGCAATCTGAAACAGAAGCTGCGCGCGTCGATAGCCTTGTTGAGCGGGTCAAGGGGTTCAGCATTCTGGAAGCACTGGTAGTACAGGCCTGCTCGACGCATCATCGTGTAGCACTGCGATGTGTCGATCGCTCGCTAATGGCAATGCAAATACCTAGCATGAACTGTAGAGGCCGTTTATGCCGACCGGGCTCACCCTTCAGGTCGTTAGTATATACCATAGAGTGATCTTCATGTGTTCAAACTCATCCCGACGACTCCGGTGATTGACGAGATGTAAAGCAGGTGTATCTGATACTACCAACTCACGGGCTAGGTGACAACTGCAACATGTTACGAATGATAATGCCACGTAGACTCTACAATATGATGTAACCCAGATGTGGCGCGCTAGAGAAAACAATGATATATACTGGAGAGTCGTGGGGTTTACACGTGTGTGATGATATGCAACGAACGAATACCTGTGTGGAGGTGCGTGAGTTGATTGCTCATCGCATCTCATGATAGTCCAATATAAGACTCACGTACCATAGAAAGTAACATGATGTCATGGATCTAGACCGGGAGGTCGAGGTGAGTATCTAGTGTCTGCAGTTCACCCTTGTGTATGCTGCCGTTGTTCGACTGATCCTGGGGGTCCTGTGAGGAACTCCGCTTCTGAGAGATACTACAGGTGAGGAACCCAGGGAGCGGCAGTAATGCGGAGAGATCGGCCCAAATGGACCGGTGATTGTCGCGGTAGGTATACAGTATCACGAGGAGGAGTAAGAACATGGACAGAACGATGGTGACCACAGCTGTGTATCTCGTAGGCTGTGCGGTGCGGTTGAAGCAAATCCACGCAATGGAGATGAAGAAGGTAAGGAGCCTGTGCGAGGTGAAACACTGTCTTAGTCGAAGAGAGGGTAGCCTGAGAAAATTCCACGCACCCCCACCAGAAAAATGTGGCCGGGATACTGAAGATGACTGCGAGTCGTTCAAGCTCCTGTAGCTGCTTCTTACGCGGGCCCCCTTTCGGCGGCTAGATGAGAAGAGCAGTGAGCATCCTATGAACAGTCTAGAGCGCAATAGCAGCATGTACCTCGCCTTCAAAACTTGAATGGTGGCCAGAGCGATGTTGCCTCGCGAGTATGGTGGAGGCCGCGATGTTGCCGACATTGAGGATCAGCGATATGTAACTGACGATCTGGCCCAAGCTGCGCTGCGCCGGAGGAAGGCCGCTGTCATCGACTGAAGATATGGCGAGGAAGCTCAGGTTGGCAACTAGGATGACTGTCGCCTAACAAGTGCAACATTGAGCCCGGATATCATGGACAATGCCGAGAAGCGTGCCTACCGGAGTGATGGCGTCATACCAGTCGTCTTGAAGCTGGATCACGAAGTCATTCCAACGACTCGTGCTCATCTTCCTCCCAATCCAAAGGTGGTTGAGGTTAACATAATAAGACGCTGCCGTGTAGAAGGACAGGCAGTTCAGGAATCTGAACCAATATGAATGGTGCTCTGGGTCGTGATGATGGGGGAAAACGCCGCGCGAGTTGTTGATTTGCGCATGTTCTTCTCCAAAGAAATATGCGAATCGGATCTTGACTAGCGCAGCGCATAAATGCTTTCGTACCTCCGCCAAACACAAATACACTCACGCAGTGCGCCCTTCAGCTTTCCTAAAACAATAGATCAGCTTGCGCAATGTGGTAGAGAGCACAGACACAGACCAACTATGCATGCATCTTCCGGTCTCTTGGAGTCGGCTGGTATGGACCCGTCATTCGCTGCTATCATAAGTGCATGTTTGGTTTACACGGACCTATGATGTTCCCAACTATCCTTGAGAAATGCTTCAGCTCTGTTGCTGTGTATGGTGATGTTGACGCCTTCGAGCTTCCCGCATCTGGAGAGGTCAAGGGTAGGTCTTCTTCCTATACAAGATACCGGAGCTGCTCACCGAACGTCCAGAATGCGAGTTTCTCACTCAAGTCGCTGAGTTCATCTTTTGAGATGGTTCGATCATGAGGGAAGATGTATATGTGCTCCCTGTGCTTCCAATAGGGATGCAATCTGTATTCAGCTGGGTTTCAATGTGAGGAAGCGGAAGACGAACCAGTACGCAGCCTCGGCTGCAATACCTATATGACATAATAGGATCTCTGAACCACCCTTCGCAGCCTTTTCACACATCGATGCTACTCACGGAGGTGTTGCCTTCCGACGATATTGTGATCTAGGTCTTCCCAGAAGATCTTGGCGTCGACCTTATCAAGCCAAAACACCTCCTTCCTTCCCATGTTGCAGATATAGTAGCAGCCCTTGACGACCGGATTCATTCTGTCTTTACGGAACCAATCCTTGAAGTCAGTCTTAACATCGTCTTGGGGTTGGAGATGTATCCCAATCTCGATGTCGTCCAGGAGAGAACCATGCTTGCCATTGCGGGCCTCTATCAGTTGCAAGCGGAGCATGGCCACGGCGGCTTCCAGGGTGTTGAAATTATCATTGTCAAGCAACCACGCATCGGTGTAGACATTCTGAGTCGAACTGCTGAATCACTGACAGAGTACGATAGGCAGAGTTCATACCTTGTAGCGGAAGTACGCCTTTCCCTCGGGATGAGTGTATTGCTGCCACCCAACCCCAAGCCCCGCCCGTTCATCAGAGCTGGTTGACGGTATCAGGTATATTTTGTAGAAGGCCGAGGATGGACTGGTCCCTTTGCTCACCATCCGTCGTCTTCAATATCATTCATCGGAGGTATCTCGTCGTGCTTCCCTGCCGTCGAGGGATTGTTGTCATCAGGAAAACGTCACGGACTTGTACAGGTACTTGGGGTACTTGGCCAAGTACCTCAAGTATCCCAAGTACCTCAAGTACCCCAAGTCCAATGGACTTGGCCAAGTCGGGTGGGTCGACTTGGCCAAGTACCAGGCACTTGGCCAAGTCCTCCAAGTCCCTGTTCAAGTTCATGCCCAAGTTCACTGTGAGATGTATTGAATAAAGATGATATGCATGGAAGTAAATCAAAGAACAGCTGCTCTTGATTAAGGTCAGATGTACAATATTTGTTAGTGGGTGCAGCGGCGGCAAAAAAAATGCCACCACAGGGAATTGAACCAGCAATCTGCAATTTCAGTGACCAACACAGCATGTTCAACCACTACACTGCAGAAGCTCACACTATAGCACAGAATAGCAGCCATATATAGCGCTCTTTGCTGGACTCCGAGAAATTCTTCACCATCCTCTCCTGTACCATAGCAGAACTTGGACATCCACCACTGATACCACTATTCTTGAGCATTATCTGGATATTGTACCTCTGTATCACTACTGAAACAAGCACATTGTAACAACTTAAAGTCTTCTATCACACGTTATTGCCCTTCTTCTAATAGACTATAAAGCTGCTTCTACAGCCTTAAAACAGACTGGTTTACAACTAGTGTATGGATGTCTATGATAGATATTATTACATAAGAAGTATACAAGATGTGTGACTGATAGAACACCAATTGCTCAAATTGAGGCCTGAGTATACTGAAGTCAACATGGTAAAGTCCAAGTTGTGGTCCAAGTACCCTAAGTACCCCAAG